GCGAGTGCACACGCCCTATAGCAAAAACCTCTCCAAAAAAAGAAAAAAAAAAAAAAAAAAAAACACGAGCCTTCTATCTGTTGCTTACAAGGAACCATATATACATAGATTGAAAGTAAAGGGCCAAAAGAAAATGTTCATGCAAATACAAACCAAAAAAGGCTGCAGTTGTGATACTGATATCAGACAAAAGAGATGTCAAGACAAAAAGTATAAAATGAGACAAAGAAGGACACTATAAAGCACTAGAAGATCTAATTCACCAAGAAGATATTATACTTAAAAATATCAATGCACCCAACACTAGAGCACCCAAGTATGTGAAAGAAAGATGTCCGCATTTAAAGGAAGAGATAAACTGTAACACAATAATTGTCGGAGCTCTCAACACCTACAGTTTCCTCTGAACATGTCATCTAGAGAACAGTAAACAGATAAATAGGATCTAAACAAAACCAGAAATCGAACTGACTTCACAGAACTCTATAATACATGTCACCCAACAATCACAAAGTACACATTTTTCTCACTCACACATGGCACATTATCAAAGACTGATCACATGACAGGGCCCAAAGGAAGCCTTTTCAAATTCAAAGATTTAGAACCTATATATAGTATCTTTTCTAACCACAATGGAATTAAACTTGAATTTTTTTTTTTAGAGGTTTTTGCTATAGGACACATGAGCTTGCCAGACAGACAGATACAGAGAGACAGAAAGTGAGAAATCAGCCCCCAGGGGGGATGGCCACACCGCAATCCCTTCTCCTCCATTCTCCTCTCAGGATCTTGGGCATGCACACATGCGCTTGGCGTGAGTTTTAAGCCACCAGGTCTGGGACATGAGCCATGGTCAACTATGTGTGAGTCCAGCGACACAGCCATTACAGCTAACTGCTGGTCCCTAAACTTGAAATTAACTGAAGAAAAGACCCACAAAAATACATAAGCACATGAAAATTATACAACCTGAATGACTTCACAATCACTGAAGAAATTAAAATTAAAATCAAAAGATTCATTGAAACCAATTATAACTAGTTGCACGAGTTTCCAAATCCTTTGGTATACAGCAAAAGCAGTCATAAGAGGAAAGTTTATAGCAATTAGTACTAACAAGAAAAAAATGAAAAGGTGGAAAATAGACAACCTAATAATACATCTCAGGGTACTGGATAAACAATAGAAACAAACAAACAAACAAAATACCAGGAGGAAATAAATAATAAAGAGCATAAATAAATGAAATAGAGAATAAAAAAGCTACACAGAAAATAAATGATACCAAAAGCTGGCTCTTTGAGAAGATAAACAAAATTGACACCCTGTGAGCTAAACTAATCAAGAACAGAAAAAGGAACCAGATAGATAAAATCAGCAATTAATCAGGCAATATTAAATACAGACATAACGGAAACAGTAATGAGAAAATCCTACAAGTGATTACACACCAACAAACAAGAAAACTTAGATAAGATAGACAAACTTCTGGATGTATAATCTGCAAAGATTGAACAAGGAGAAAAGAGAAAGCCTGAATAAGACCAATAATAAGCAAAGATAGTGAATCAGAAATAAATATCCTCCCACTAAAGAAAGCCCAGGTCCTTATGGCTTCACTTCTGAATTCTACATAACTTTCAAAGATGAACTAATGCCAATTCTTCTCAAACTATTTCTAAATATGCAAAAGGAAGAAACCCTCCCCAATTTAGTCTATGAAGCCTCCACCATCCTGATCCCTAAAACAGACAAGGACATAAAAAAATAAACAAAACTATATAGTGATATCCCTGATGAATACAGATGCAAAAATTTTCAACAAGATACTAGCAAATCATATCCAAAAACACATTACAAAGACTAAACCCCATGATCAGATAGGCTTTATTCCAGGGATGCAAAGGTGGTTCAGCATATGTAAAACAATGTAATGCATCACACTAATAGAAGGAAAGATAAAAACCATACGATCACATTAATTTATGCAGAAAAAGAATTTAACAAAATACATTTCTTCATGATTAAGACTTTCAGCAAAATCAGTCTAAAAGGGACACTTCTCAACACAATAAAAAACCACCTATGACAAGCCCATAGCTAACATCATACTGAATGAGGACAAGCTGAAAGTTTTTATACGGAAAACTGGAATAAGACAAGGTTTCTCACTTTCTCCATTTTTTTTCAATGTAGTACTAAAAGTTCTAGCCAATGCAATCAGAGAAAAGAATTTTTTAAAAAAGCATTCAGATAGAAGAATAAAAGTAAAATTATCTCTATGCAGATGATTATATACATAGAAAATATAAAATAATTCACAAAAAAATTCCTGGAAGTGATACATGAAGAGAGTAAAGGAGCATGATACAAAAGCAACATATGAAAATCTGTAGCATTTTTATAGACCAACAATGAGGTAGATTTGAAGAAACAATCTTATTTACAATCTATTTACAATAGCCACACACAAAAAAAGAGGCCTATGAATAAATCTGACCAAAGAAGTGCAAGATTCTTAGAAGGAAAACTATGAAAAACTAAAAAAAGACATTAAAATTGTGTCATGGACAAATATCCTATGTTCCTATATTGAAAGAATTAATGTAACCAAAATATAGTCTACCTTAATTAATTTACAAATTTAATGCAATTTTAATCAAATTACCAGAGATATTTTTCACAGAAAGAGAAAAAACTATCATAAAATTTATCTGGAATCATAAAATGTGCAAAAAGAATAAAGTAGGAGGTATCTCATTTTCTTACCCTAAAATATATTACATAGCTGTGATAATCAAGCAGCATGATACTGGCATTAAAAGAAAAAGTGTAGAACAATTAAAAGAATAGAGAAATAAACCCCAAAAGATGCAGCCAACCAATTTTGACAAAGGGCACAAGACAATTCATTGGGGAACAGAAAAATATCTTCAGCAAGTGGTGTGGAAAAACTGGATATCCAGAAAAATGAAACTAGACACCTATCTCTCTCATCAACTCAAAATAGATCCAAAAGATAAACATGAAACCTCAAACAATAAAACTTCTGGTGGAAAACACCGTGGAATCTCTTGGAGACATCAGACATACAGACTTCTTAAATAAGACTCCCAAAGCACAGGCAATAATCCCGAATACAGCACACTGGGACTACATTAGGCTAAAAAGCTTCTGCACAGCAAAAGAAACAATAATTAGAATGAAGAGACAAACCACAGAATGGGAGAATATATTTTCAAACTATGACACAGATAAAGGAATGATAACCAAAATACACCAGAAACTCAATCAGCTTATCTGCAATAATAATAATAACTACCAAATAAAAAGATTGGCTAATGAGCTGTACAGACAGCTCTCCAAGGAAGACATATGAATGACCAAAAAGTATGTGGGAAAAAAAATGCTCAACTTCTCTTATCATAAGGGAAATGCAAATCAAAATCACATTGAAATACCACTTAGACCTAGTCAGAATGGCTGAGATTAAACAATAAAGAATGATAAGTGCTGGTGAGACTGTGGTGAAAAGAAAACTCATACTCTGTTGGTGGACATGTAAATTAGGACAGTCACTGTAGAGAACAATATCAAGGTTCCTCAAAGACCTACAAATAAAACTACCATATGACCCAGCAATTCCACTTTTGTATATCTACTCAAAGGATAAGAAAACAAAAACACTTGCACATTTATGTTAATTTCAGCATTATTCATAAATGGTAAGACATAGAATCAACCCAAATGTTCAAGAACAGATGAATGGATTGAAAAATGTGGCACATATACAAAATGGAATATCATTCAGCCATAAAAAGCAATGCAACTCTGACATTTGATTCAAAGTGGTTGAATATGAAAGATATAAAGCTAAGTGAAGTTAGCCAGACTATGAAAGAGAGGCATTGTATGTCCTGCTTATTATATACCTAATGTCAGCACTCTATGGTAGAAACTGAAGGATTGGAAAGTATAACTGTAGGGAGGGTAACTATAAATAACAGCGACAGTATAGGAGAAGGTAGGCAATAGGGAATGAGAAAAAGGGGATCAGGAAAAGATTTTAAGAAAACTATTATCAGGCACAAAATAGGAAAAGTTATCTGTTGATGATAATGTATATGGTAATATCTTTGATTTGACTGATGTGCACTATATTCATGCTGGAAAAAACCATTTTGCATACCCTAAAGATGTACAGTGATTAAGTGCAATTTAAAAAATAAACATACAAAATCTGAAGATATAATAGTACAAAGGACAATGGTAATACCAGAGATTGTATAGAAGAGTGGTAATTAGTAGCAGGTGGGCGGGAGGGACTAAGAAAAATAAAAACTTTTAATAGATGCAGGAATGGAAAGTTATCTATTGAGAATAATGTATATGATAATATATTTGACTCAATTGATATGCACTACATGAATGGTCTAAAAAAACATATTGTACACTATAAAGATGTACAATAGTTAAATGTAAATAAGACATACCATAAAAAGTGAATAATTAAGCCAGTTAATGTGTTTTGCATTCTTCCTTTTATTACTCTCTATATAATTAGTTGTGCTTTTACTTTGTGTTAGACTATGTGCTCGGAACTCTAGACACTCATTTCCAGCTCTTAAATTGTGCACTTCAGTTAGTGACTATGCATACTTCTGTAATTCAAAGAAAAATCTTCATCTCCCACAGGTTGGGTCCAAAAATAATCATGCATTATAATGTGTAAGAAAAGAGGAAGGGAAAGCAAGAACTGTATTTGAGCTAGTCAGGGAATCATAGACAAACTTTTTAGAGATGCCTTTTGATTCTTTACCTGCTATTGTGGAATGTTTAGAGCAATCCTCAAAAATGCACTATTTATGAAATAAATAGCATCATTATGAAACTGTCAACTATTAAACTGACATGGGGTTATTAAAGTACATAAACCATGAGAAATACATTGAAGACATTAAAGAGACCTAATAGCTGAGAATATGTATGGGCTTTTATTGAAACCTTTATTTAAAAAAGAAACTATATATACCGTTTTTTAGACAACTGGGGATGAAAAGTGGACAGAATATTATAAGTTGTAGTTGAGTTAATGTATATATTATTGTTACTGTAGTTTCTTAAGGGACTATCCTTGATACTGACAGATGGTTTCTTATTCTTGAAATTCATGTACAGAAGTGTTATAGGCACCTTACCTGCAAAAGGGTTGGTAAATGGAAAACACATGGGTAGTGAGAGAAATGGAGGAGTTAGTGACTTTAAGAGTCTTATTTTTATTGTTTTCTATATCTATGACTGTTAAAGTTTCTCATATATGCAAGCATACATATAAACATGAAGATAAATAGCACTACTTCATACACTTATCATAAGCACTAAATGTGTTGATCCATGGAAAGAGCTTACTATTATGAGTGATAAATGATCACTTTTTAATTTTTATCAGTTAATATTATGTTACAGAGAATCTTACAATTAGAATAATGTTAATTTTTTTTTCTTTTTTTGTTTCTTTTAAAAAATAATTGCTAGAGGGTGCATTTGGCAGAGAGTGACAGAGAAAGAGGGAGAAAGAAAGGGAGAAGTTATTTCCCCAAGGAGCATGATCATGCTGCAATCCCTCATTTTCCAGTTCTCCATCCTGTTGGGATTGGGGATTTACATTCACAAGCACCCAGCATATTTTTCATGTTTCTCAGGAGTATTATCATCCCAATTGTGATTTTCTTTTTTTTTCACCTGACTCTCCACAAATTAATTTATTGCCAGTATTGCTCTGAGCATTTAAATGTGCAACTCTTCTTTTACTTTTTACTACTCTAAAATACTTTATAGTATTCAGTATGGTCCTCATTTGTAAATTAGGTCAAATGTAATCTTAGAGAATGAAAAGCTATTCTATGGCCTGAGGTAACTTTTTAAAAGTTGCCTTTTTGTGAAGAGTTCTATTTAAACATCTAAAATTTATTTTTTCAAAAGTGCAACTACTTCTTATTGTGATTTCTGATTTACATATAATCACTGTACAGTGTAGGTTTTGAAAGCAAGTATGCAGTGTGCAACAATAAATTAAAAGTGAGACAAACCAATGCCTTTAAGTGTCTCTGTAATAGTACTATACAACCGATAGTACAGAGAAGTACTGGATTTCTCTGGGCACTTTAATTCTGACATTTCCTTTCTACTTACTAAATACAAAGATATTTTCTATAATAAAATTTGGCCCCAGAATAGGATTAATACAGATGAGATTCCCTCAAACACAATACCAATCATAATCCCTTCAATTTAACTTTCTACTTCCCTGAGATTTGCAAGGAAAGAAATTTAATTTTTCCTGAAGACAAATGTATTAATATTTAATAAAAACAAAATCCAGTGACAGTGTTAGTAAAAAATAAGAAATGTGCATAAAGCCCTTCTATATTTGAATACGATGACTGAATTGAGCTGCATTAGCTCCTAGACATGAAATATGATGTGTATGGGAAGCAAAATTTCAGGCAGAAGAAAATGTTTGCTTATAGAGATAAAATGTTCAGTGGATCTATGTTATGGAAAGAGACTGCAGATTTGTTACCAGAAACAGTGTCCTTTTATATATTGGTAGAATGCAGATGCATGTTACCAGTGGTCTAAGAAATTGGCAGCTATGTTTAATGTGAGTTATCTACCATAAGAAAAGGCAATTCAATATAGTAGATATATTTTTTCTATAATTGGTTCTTTGCAGTCTGAGTTCTTCAATACTTGTTAGTTTATTTTGGGATGGTTCCAAGTTGGACCTGTCCAATCAGATCATTCAAAATTCTTGCTCATAGTACTTAATTTAGATATTTGCATGCATGACAAGTCAGTTCACTAAGAGTTATCTCTGAGACTCTATTGGATTAATTAGGATAGGCTAGGATATACCTCAGCAAAAAATAAACCCTGGCATGTGTGTGTGTGTGTGTGTGTGTGTGTGTGCATACATATTTATAGATCAAGGAAAGCCCACCTTGAGTTGCCTCACACTGCTCCTATTGGAAATTCACTACATGAAATATGTAACCACCAAGGTCACTGCACTTATGGAAGAGAGAGCTGAAAGACACAGAGAAAAAAGTTTTGTTTCGCTTTTTTAAAAAGCAAACATTGACTAGATTTAGAACATTAGAACATTTCCTCCTACAATTCATTGACTAGAACTCAGTCACATGGTTCTAACAATGTGACCATACATGAGGTTAGACAATGAGACTACCTACATGTCCTGGAAGAATAACGATGGATATCTTTATCTTAGTGCTCTTTATATATATATAGGAATTGGTAGTCCCATAAAATGTAAATCTTGATTAACTTGTATCCATTTTCCTTATATGCAATATTAAAACATTTAATTAGAGTAAAAGGAGAGAGAAACATTTTCCCAATAATACCATTAAAACAGTTGGATAAAGAAATGCACATGAATTCATAAATACTTCCCTCATTTTTCCTATGTAAATTTTAAACTGGGTTTCTCCCTCTTACAACTAAGAATTATCATTAATTTAAAGTTTTATTCTCAATCCTAATGCTTCCTAAAATTAATTCTATTAAACAACTAATCAATTAATGTGTCGATTGAAAATGATTTACCTAGCATGTTCTTAAGATTATGGTGCAACTGCTAAACTTATATTCATTAGTCTAACTTTGTTTCAGTGTCACTGCTCAATGAAGTGTCTTTATGGCATTCTATCCACAGCTTCATCAGTTCACATAATTCTCCTGGGCATCTGGAGTGAAAGATAAGACCATGGACACTTAAGTTAGAATCCCTAGCTTTAACTCCTGGCTCTAGCCATTACTAGCTTTGTAGCGTTGTGCTTAGAAGAACATAATTTCTTTGTTTTCCAGTCCCCGCCCCCCAACTTGAAAAATGGGCATAATACAAAGTTATCTTTTTAAAAAAGATTTAATAAATAGAAAAATGTAGAACAGTGATGGACATCAGACAAGTGTCAGTAAATACTAGATATTTTACTTCTATCATTATTTTACCTTTATTGGATCGTGAATTCTTCTAAAACCAAGGCAATGATTATTTACTGACTTTTCCTTTAGTGCCTAGACTAGATTTGGTATGTAGAGAGCATACATTTTAGTTGAATAAATTGCCCTAATAGTAACAGTAGTAATAATTATAACGAGTGTTATTAAGCACCTATTAGATGCCAAGCATGGTTCTAAGTGTTTCATATGTATTAACTCATACAATAAATAAAGTAGTATATCACTCAGAATAATGAATATTTGTTATTACTGTAAAAATACCATAATGTCCCAGTGGTTTAAAAATAAGTTTATTTCTTATTGGCACAAAATCTAACTTTGATGTTGCTGGTTGTAGAAATCTCCTGGGTAGAACTTCTGAAAGTACTGACACTGTGCTCCAGGCTTTGATCATGGTCCTACATATCCTTAACAAGTCTACTGAAGTTACCCTAAAGGAAGAGAGAAAAAACTCATGAAAGGAATTTGGTTTTATTATTTAATTAGGATCAGGGCTAGAAATAAGTCTGATACTTCCATGCCTGTTCTATTGACCAAAATTTGCTGCATGCTTTTATTGTAATATAAACTAAATAAATGATAAATAGATCTTGTGTGTGTGTGATCATAAGTAAAGTGAAATAATCTGATAAATAAGAAAATTTAAAAAACCTATTTGTGAAAAATAAAATTTAAATTTAAAATAAATGAAACCTGAAGACCAGTATCATTGGAGAAGTGAAGAAGAACTTGAATGTGGTCTTACAGGATAAGCATACACTGGATGAGTGGGAAAAAAGGGAAGGCATTTACTATGGTTTGAATATGTTCCTCCCAAATTTGTGGGCTGATAGCTTTGTAGCGTTGTGCTTAGAAGAACATAATTTCTTTGTTTTCCAGTCCCCGCCCCCCAACTTGAAAAATGGGCATAATACAAAGTTATCTTTTTAAAAAAGATTTAATAAATAGAAAAATGTAGAACAGTGATGGACATCAGACAAGTGTCAGTAAATACTAGATATTTTACTTCTATCATTATTTTACCTTTATTGGATCGTGAATTCTTCTAAAACCAAGGCAATGATTATTTACTGACTTTTCCTTTAGTGCCTAGACTAGATTTGGTATGTAGAGAGCATACATTTTAGTTGAATAAATTGCCCTAATAGTAACAGTAGTAATAATTATAACGAGTGTTATTAAGCACCTATTAGATGCCAAGCATGGTTCTAAGTGTTTCATATGTATTAACTCATACAATAAATAAAGTAGTATATCACTCAGAATAATGAATATTTGTTATTACTGTAAAAATACCATAATGTCCCAGTGGTTTAAAAATAAGTTTATTTCTTATTGGCACAAAATCTAACTTTGATGTTGCTGGTTGTAGAAATCTCCTGGGTAGAACTTCTGAAAGTACTGACACTGTGCTCCAGGCTTTGATCATGGTCCTACATATCCTTAACAAGTCTACTGAAGTTACCCTAAAGGAAGAGAGAAAAAACTCATGAAAGGAATTTGGTTTTATTATTTAATTAGGATCAGGGCTAGAAATAAGTCTGATACTTCCATGCCTGTTCTATTGACCAAAATTTGCTGCATGCTTTTATTGTAATATAAACTAAATAAATGATAAATAGATCTTGTGTGTGTGTGATCATAAGTAAAGTGAAATAATCTGATAAATAAGAAAATTTAAAAAACCTATTTGTGAAAAATAAAATTTAAATTTAAAATAAATGAAACCTGAAGACCAGTATCATTGGAGAAGTGAAGAAGAACTTGAATGTGGTCTTACAGGATAAGCATACACTGGATGAGTGGGAAAAAAGGGAAGGCATTTACTATGGTTTGAATATGTTCCCCCCAAATTTGTGGGCTGAAATTTGGTTATATTTTGAAGGTATTAAGAGGTAGGTATTAAGGTATTAAGGTATATTAATAAAATTATGATTTTGAAACACAAAGTTTTGGAGAGTGCTTAGCCATCGAGGTGGGGGTTCATGATTGGTGAGTTTTTAGTGAGAGGGAATGAGACAGAGACATGGTCTGCTCTGAGTGCTCTCCTGTCTTTTCTAGGTTGTGATGTAGCAAGAAGATTATTGATAGAGGCAGCCCCTTAACTTTGGGTCTCCAAACTGAATAAATTCTATTTTTAGAATTTACCCAGACTCAGGTATTGCCAGAAAACAGATTGCTGAGGGAGGAAAATTCAGCACTCCAGAGAGAATAGGAGAACTCTTTATTATTATTATTATTATTACTATTATGCTAGCAGGCACAGAGGACTTAACACTCTGAGTCTCCAGGCCCCCCGCTGTGGGGGTTAAGCACAGTCTTTTATGGGGGAATTGGGGAGGGGCGGTTTCAACATGCTTGGAGTGGCCTTTCAGGAAGGGTCTCAGTGTCTGCCCTAACACAAAGCTGGCAGAGAAGCAGGGAATCAAGGCCTCTGGACAGCTTAGGGGAGGGGCAGCTAACCAGGGGCCAGAAAGCCTAGGCAGCTATCAGCCCTGGGCACTTCAAGGCCACTCACATTTTCCTCTATATCAGAACAGAAAGTTCAGGCAATTACATGACTTTAGTTTCTCCACATCAGTCATTCTATAATTTGTGACAGAATGGACTAGGACAGCATTCCAGATGAGGGGACGTGCACAGCTAAAGTCCTGGAGAAGAGAATGAGCAAAAACATTTCTGCCTGGATAGCTGGGGGCTGTGAAGAACTCATGGAGTATAAATGAGCCCAGCGACAAACATAACATATGGTAATCACAATCATGCAGAGAGGAGTATGTGCATCCTTTTTCTAGAAAGCCACTTTGATATATAACCAAAGACACTACTGTTTGAAAACTGAGACTCACTCCACTGCACCTGGTTATCAGATAACAAGATTTTTGCATCTGAATCTGGTCTTTTTTAAAAACTGCCTTTTTGCATACAAGATGGTTTTCTGACCTGGTTTAAAATGATGTTATCTGCAACATTTTCTGACAGTTTCAACCTATCACACAGTAGTTTACATCATGACTATTTATCGTCTCCTCACTTTGACTATGCACTACTTGAAAACACACACTTGTGTTATTCCAAAATACCAAGCACATTGCAGCAGGTCTTACTGTTGTTTAAATAACATCTATTTACCTTTGAATTCACTGGATGTTTTCGTAGATATCTGATATTGCAATTTTTACTCTATTTATAGCGGTTTTAAAACATAAGACAGTGTAATTCCAAAATTCTATCCATCTTTTTTTCTATTTGTTTCATTCTTTCTACTGACTAGTAAAGGAAAAAATAGCTAAGTTTTACATTCCAAGTAACAGAACTTTCTTGGTCTCTAAAACCCATCTTGTAATGCATGGGGCACAGCTGGTCAGCTGTGGGCTGTAGCCATTTAGAAATGATGGCTACAACCCACACTGCCCTGCCCATACGATCACAAGTTACCCACATGTGGTCCCCTGATAAGTTATTTTTTCACTCTTCTGACACATTTGCATGTTAGATGTCATGTTGGCATGTGTGGTGTCTAATCTTGTCTTAAAATTCTAGTGTCTTCTCTCCTCCAAGGGCTAAGACATTTGGAGAAATTTTAACTATTTCTGGGGAATGCATCTGCCAAGTGCAGAAATTAAATAAGCAAAGAAATTGAAATGACGTATCATGTAAAGCCTAAGTCAGGTTTAAGTAGTGTCTCCAAAAATGATCTTTTAACTATAAACGTCTAATGAATCTTAAATGTGTATCTTAAATTAAATGGTTATGAGAACAAAGGAATTGCTCTATATGAGGAAATGGTTTAGATGGCCAAAGTTTCACTCTTAAGCTAAGACCTGTGTTCTCTGAGATTTAACTGGGTGATGTGACAGTCTTTCACTCATCAGAGAATTTCATCTTTCAGTTTCTGGATAAATAAAAATGATCACAGTTCATATTTTGTTTGCTGGATTAATGAAGTATCCAAGAGGGGATCCAAACTGGATTTTGGGACCTGGGTTATGGTAAGAGGTATAAACTGGGGGTATATTTTGCCTTTACCGATGCAGTGCAAAAACAAAGTCCCAAAAAATCACAATGTGACTAAATAATGTAGCTTTGCTCTTGGAAAAATAAGATTTGGTTGCCTCTTTGGTAAGTGGGACTAATGAGAAGCTTATCAATACAAAGAATTTTGTGGGAACCAGAAGACCTATTGTATGAATGATCTCTATTGCACCATGCTCTTAGGTGAATGGAGAAGGAGGGTAGTGCACAGGAGGAGAAATGGCGCAAGAAAGCTGGGATTAAAATGAAGAATTTCTAGGGTAAAAGAAGAACCCGATAAGAGATTGCTAAAAATATCTCTCTGTCTCTCTTTTCCTCTCTCTTTCTGTCTTTTTCTCAACATGTATGAGTATATATAATATAGTAAAGCAAAATAAGTAAGAGGTCATTAGCATAGTTTTTTTTTTTTTTAATTTCTATACCCAGAGTCTTTACACATGCAAACTAAAATTTAACTTAGGCATTCCTTATAACTGAGTGATTCTGAAAACCAAACAAATCCACTTAAGCTACAACCAATCACAAAAAGCCAACTAATCATTAGTTCCATATGTAGCTAGGAACTTTCCATTGGATTGTACATCAATAAAAATAGCACCTCATGTGGCCGACCATGGTTAAAGTCCCAGACCTGATGGCTTAAACTCATGCCGGGCGTGTGTGTGTGCGTGCCCATCCCAAGAGGAGAATGGAGGAGAAGGGATCGCAGCATAGCCATCCCCCCTGAGGGGTGATTTCTCACTTTCTGTCTCTCTGACTCTGTCTTTCTGGTGAGCACACGTGCCCTGTAGGAAAAACCTTTCAAAAAAAAAAAAAAGAATATTTCAAACTTACATGGAGTAGAGAGATGGAGATGGAATTCTCAGGAACTCTAGTGCCTAGCTATGATGTCAGAACCTGACTGCTTCTGAGTTTTTCTCTGTGTTATTTACCATTCAATATAGACTGTAACTCCCAATAATTTCATAGTTAAGAATGTCAAGAATTTGAGGATTCTGTTCTCTGATACATATGTTTCCTAAATGCCAGTCATCATGGATGGAAAGTTTGTACAGCCTGATCTGCTACCTCGTTCCATTTTTCACTTACTCATTTGATGGCTCTGCAGTGAAGCCTGCATGCAGGCAGGCATTCAGAGAGATGATACAGTTTTCAACTTATGTCTGGTCTCATCTCTGAGACCACAGGAGCCAGAGTAGAAGCAGCAGCACTTTTTTTTTTTTTAATTTCTATACCCAGAGTCTTTACACATGCAAACTAAAATTTAACTTAGGCATTCCTTATAACTGAGTGATTCTGAAAACCAAACAAATCCACTTAAGCTACAACCAATCACAAAAAGCCAACTAATCATTAGTTCCATATGTAGCTAGGAACTTTCCATTGGATTGTACATCAATAAAAATAGCACCTCATGTGGCCGACCATGGTTAAAGTCCCAGACCTGATGGCTTAAACTCATGCCGGGCGTGTGTGTGTGCGTGCCCATCCCAAGAGGAGAATGGAGGAGAAGGGATCGCAGCATAGCCATCCCCCCTGAGGGGTGATTTCTCACTTTCTGTCTCTCTGACTCTGTCTTTCTGGTGAGCACACGTGCCCTGTAGGAAAAACCTTTCAAAAAAAAAAAAAAGAATATTTCAAACTTACATGGAGTAGAGAGATGGAGATGGAATTCTCAGGAACTCTAGTGCCTAGCTATGATGTCAGAACCTGACTGCTTCTGAGTTTTTCTCTGTGTTATTTACCATTCAATATAGACTGTAACTCCCAATAATTTCATAGTTAAGAATGTCAAGAATTTGAGGATTCTGTTCTCTGATACATATGTTTCCTAAATGCCAGTCATCATGGATGGAAAGTTTGTACAGCCTGATCTGCTACCTCGTTCCATTTTTCACTTACTCATTTGATGGCTCTGCAGTGAAGCCTGCATGCAGGCAGGCATTCAGAGAGATGATACAGTTTTCAACTTATGTCTGGTCTCATCTCTGAGACCACAGGAGCCAGAGTAGAAGCAGCAGCACTAAAACAAAGAAAGAAAGAAATCATTAGTTTCAACAATATCTCCTTTCTTCTCAATTCCTCATTTCTGTAAATTGGCATGTTAGAGGTTAGGATTTATTTTGCGACTATAAATATAATGCCTTGACATGAACATAGATTATATGTCAATATGAAACCTGAGAAGAATGATGCCACCTAATAAATCTGATGAGAAGACTTAAATTCTTTCCAATATACTAGCATTAACAATTAGGTTTGATTGAAAACTGAGTTGTTCTTGTTGGCACTAGAAGCAGCAGATCTTAAGTATTCATATATCAATAAATAGCTAATAACAGGCACTGTATATATCATTAAATAATCAAAACAGTTATTCTTCCTTAATAGGACTGGAGTACCTTACATACTGCAGCCAAAGTAAATCACTGTACTGGATGGTTTCCGCTTTTACTCTAAAAAGCAGAGACTCTAAATAACATAAGCTGTTAGCTGTCACACAACTCATATCATTAGTAGAAAGAATATTTATAGACCCCTAAGCAAGCCTAATCCGACAGAAAAAGGATAAGCAGAGGACAGGAAAGGCCTGGATAGAAATGTTAGCATAGTAACTAGCAAATAATATACTAGAAATAATAATATTGTACATGCTGATGTTATATGAGCTTTCTTCTAAACAAGTAATGCAATGACACCAGGATTGCTTGCTAATATTTCAATGGATGTTTTCTGGGAAAAATATTTCCTAAGTTTTAGTATTATCGATTTTAGGTCAGTTCCTTGACTGATATACAAAAATGTATAAAAATTCTGTTAATCCTAGAGTAAGAATAACATATTTAGTTCAGCATTAGTAGTTCTCTGAAATTGTATTAAGGTATAAGTTCAACCCAGCTGCTCGTAACAGAATCCGGAAACATCAGTAGCTTTTGAAAGATGGAAGTGAAAAGAAGTAGCATAGCCTTATAGTCACTGGAAATTCGGTCTTCTATTTTTCTTTTCTGCTATTTATACAACATATCTCACATTTCAAATCATCATCACTCGAGACAGTTTTCAGAAATCGTATTGCAGATATCCTGAAGGAGTAGCGAAAACCTGATTTAACTGAACTTTAGTTTCTCTAGGGGACCAGTTGGTGGTGCAGTGGTGGTACAACTGAGTTCACATAAGAATGTTCTGGGTTCACTTCCCAAGGTTACCCTGTGCATGCTGGGTACACATGTGTGTGCGCATGGTCCAGACTGGGTGAGGCTGGGGATTGATGGCAGCAGCAAGACCTTGTCCAAAGTGCTCGTCTCTCTGTCTCCTCTTTCTCTATATCTCTCATGTAATCAACAACAAAATTACTTTTTAAGGCTGGGGATTGATGGCAGCAGCAAGACCTTGTCCAAAGTGCTCGTCTCTCTGTCTCCTCTTTCTCTATCTCTCATGTAATCAACAACAAACTTAGTTTTTAATTTTTTTAAGAGAGATTTTTGCTATAGGGCATATGTGCTTACTGGAGAGACAGAGAGAGACAGAAAGTGAGAAATCACTTCTCGGGGAGATGGTCATGTCAACATCTCTTTTCCTCCATTCTCCTCTCAGGATTTTGAGCACACATGCACACATGCCTGGCATGTTTCAAGCCACCGGATCCAGGATTTGAACTGTTGTTGGACATGCACGAGTCCAGCAATGTAGCCACTATGCCGTCAACTGGTTCCTAAACTTATCTTTAAAATAAATAAATAAAATAGGCTTTTCTGGAAGCTGCACAAAACTTGTCTTTACATGTTATTGCTCAAAACACCTACTTAAAAGGAAGATAATAGTTAAATAGGCATCTTACTGCATTTAATAAGACTAATATCAAGTTCTCATCTTCTAACATTGAGTGAATTCATTTTTTGTGATTACTGTACCATCTCACAATAGCTAAATAATCTGGAAGAAAATTATAACTAGATTTTATGCAGACACGTGCACATGCATGTACGTGAGAGCACATGTGCACACACACAAACACACACACATACACATACACACACACCCTCTAAGTGTATAGAAGACCTGCTATTTGAGGAGTTATGGTGGTAATATGTATAGGAGCACAAAATCCAGTGATATTACTCAGATACTTGGGACTTCTGAGTTTCACTTTCCAAAGCAGTAGCTCAGAAACTGAAGAAAACTTCTGACACCTTTATGGGAATAGTGCAGTACAGAAAGGAGCAGCCCTGATGAACAGCTCACGGTTTTTGGTTGTAACCACAACAAACATAAACTTAGGCAGGGGGGTGCAGAGGAAAGAGACCAGTCCTTACATTAAATAAAGCCCAGTTTTAAATCATCTCAATCTCTAGTGAGATTAAGATGACCTGGAATTTCAGGTGTGGTAGCCATGCTGCTTGTCAGAAGCCCAAGTAAATTCTGTCTAGAGGAAGATAGGTAAAATTAATGCTTTATAGTACCTTTATAATTTTTCATAACTAATGTCTAGATACCAATAGATACATCAATAGACACACGAGAAGATAAAACATGCATAAAAGGAAAAATGAAAATAAATATATGAGGCAAATACATAGGGACTCCAAATAATGGGGTCAATAGACTTACCATTTTGAAAAAAAAAAAAAAAAAATCCAGCCTTAATATGTTTATGGAATTAAATAAACATTGGAAATTCCAGGTGATTATTTTTTAAAGAACTATTTTATTTCACTGTTTTTAGTTATTTATTGATTTAGAGCAACAGAGTGAGCGAGAGAGAGAAAGGGAAAGTGAGAAAGCCAGGTCCAGGACTCGAATCACAGTTGACCATGTGGGAGTCCAATGCCCTTAATCACCACACCACCTGCCAGCCCCCAGGTGATTATTTTTTAAATAATTATTTTATTTAACTGTATTTACCATTTATTTATTTAGAGGAATAGAGTGAGTCAGAGAGAGAGAGAGGGAAAGTGAAAAAGCCAGGTCCAGGACTCCAAACACAGTCGATCATGTGGGAGTCCAGCGCCCTTAACCATCACACCACCTGCCGGCCCCCCCACCAGGTTATTATTAAAAACAATAAATATAAATCAACAAAAATCATAGACACTACTTTGAAAATTCTTGAAATCAAAATCAGTACATGCATTTCACCAAGATATTAGGCTCAAACCAAGAGAGAACTAGTGAACTAGAAGATAGGGAAAAAAAAAAAGTCAAGGCCAGCAGGTGGCAGGTTGGTTAAGGCCTCTGGACTCCTACATGGCCGACTGAGGTTTGAGTCCCAGGTCAGGCAGCTTGCTTTCTAATTTTCTCTCTCTCTCTCTCTTACTCTCACTCTCTTGCTCTGTCCCTCTCTGGTCTAATTAAAAAAATAAATAAACAAATAAAGTTAAATAAAATAATTCAAAAAAAGATGAAAGAAAAAAGAAAAAAAAAAAGAAATCACCCGGGTCAATGCATGTGGAGAGAAACTTGTGGAAACTCAAAAAAAAAAAAAAAGAAAAGAAAATGAAAATGAAAGGGAATATAATGCATATACAGACAATATTGCAAAGTTTTAGCATGCATAGACTTGCAGGGAGAGGGAGTAGGGTAGAGACAGTGGCAGTGAGTATTCCTGAAACTGATTACTGCTGTCAGGGCCCATATTCTACAACAACAATACACCAAAGTAGGAAAACTTCAAGACAATCCACACAAGAACATCATGATAAAACCTCAAAACAAAGAGAAAGTGTGATAAACAGTATGTAAAGTTTCCTATTATCTTCAAAAAAGCCAAGAATGAGGGTTATAGCTAACTTCTTAACAGAAACACCAGCAAGAAATAGGAAAATAAACATACCCATGCTTTTGGTAAAAGGACTATACTTCAGGTTTCTCAATATATGATAAAACCAACAATCAAAACAATTCAGTAAAATATAGAAAATATGAAAAATAAAATCTACAAACTTGACATACATGGACAAATATGACAAACACCTAATACAAGAAATTCAGAATACAAATTGTTTCCAAGAGCATATGGTATTTTTAACAAAATGGAGTCAAGTATCCATTACGCAAGTCATGACCAATGTCACAATACTGAAATATTACAGTGTAGGGTCTATGATTATTTTGAAACTAAGTAAATATGTACTAACAGAAACTGGCAAAAGTATGAAATTAATCAATATGAGCCTAAATAAACCTTCTGTGAAGAACAGAATCAAATTAAAAGTTACCTTCAATTAAATGGCAATGAAAATTATCATTGCAAATAGTTGTAGAACATCCAATAATTATGAAATGCAGATGAAGCTGTGAATTGAGGAAATTTATATACTTAAACACATACATTAGAAAGTAAATCCAGGAAATTAATAATTTAAGAATTATATTAAAGGAAATAAGCCAACCATAGAAAGACAAATATCTTATGATTTCACTTACAAATGGGACCTAAGGGAGTCAAACTCGTAGAAGCAAAAAATTGAATGGTGATAATCAGGGGGGTGTTAAAAGGATTGCAAAGTTGTTGGTCAAGGGAAAAGAGATTTCAGTCAGATAGCAGGGAGAAGTTCAAGATCTCTAATGTACATAATGATGATCATTGTCAATAAAAATCTACTGTATACTTGAAAATTGCTGAGAGTCGATTTTAAATGTCCCTACCACAAAAACAAAGATGTGAAGTAATGCATATTAGATTTAGTTCTTTCACAACATATACATATAATGATGTTACATTGCATTGTATATCTAAAATGTACACAATTTCATTTATCAATTGAAAATAGAACAAAATTTCAGAATGAAAATAAATTCAAGATAGTACACATCTCTGAAAACCACAAAGGTGATCCTGCTGCACCCACTGACACATCACAGATTTAAGAAGAAAAGAATTAGCCAGCAGATGGCATAGCAGTTACATTGCTGGACTTCCACATGGCTAAACATTGTTCGAGTTCCAGACCTGGTAGCTTGAAACTCATGCCAGGCATGTGTGTGTGTGCCCAAGATCCAGGAGGAGAATGGAGAAAAAGGGACTGTGGCATGACTGTCCCTCTTGGGGGGTGATTTCTCACTTGCCCTCTCACTGAATCTATCTCTCTCCTGCCAGTGCTCATGCCCTAAGGCAAAAATCTCTCCCAAACATAAATAAATAAATTGAAAATAATTTATCTAAAGAATTTCAGAAAGTGACATCAAACGAATGCCTCTGAATAAGTAGAAGGATAATAATTATTTAAGTAGAAATGAAAAAAACTAAAGCAATCAAATATATTTATCAACCAATTTGAAATTTCTTAGGAAGGATAATGATATAGATGAATCTATGGCAAGACTGAGAGACACAGAGAGACGCTGTAAGAGAGTCCTGGCACAAGCTAGGGCAGTGGGGTTGGCATTAGCTCTGCAGGGCCATTTCTGGAGTTTTTCTCCTATGCTGGATTGATTGTGTCTATCACAAACAGCTGTCTTTGAGAGCAGCAGATGATGTAATGGCTGCATCACTGGATTCCCAAGTAGTCGACTGTGGTTCTAGTTCCAGACATGGTGGCTTAAATCTCCTGCCAGGCACCTGTGCGTGCATGCCCAAAATTCCCAAAGGAGAATGGAAGAGAAGGGATTGCACTGTGGCCATTCCTCCTGGGGTGGGGGGGGGTATTTCTTGTTTTCTATCTCTCTGTTGCTGTCTCTCTGATGAGAGCATGTGCCCTATAGAAAAAATCTCTCTCTCTCTAAAAACAAAACAAAACAACTATCTTCATTTGTTCTTGATAAACATCTAAGGGTCAGGATGATTAAAGGATGCTGGCCTGCAAGGTTGATTTCTAATATTTAAATACAAAATGCAAAAGAATCTAATGTAAAAATAATTAAGTGCAAACCATACTCCTTTCAAATTTTACAGACCTGAATGTCTGCTTCATGAGCAAATGCTTTACTCCTGCGGCAGGTACTTCAGGCGATTCTAGGTAGAAGGAAAAAGAAAATAAGGTTTATCAGAAATGCATGACACTGGACATTCTAGATAAAAGGCCAGAGTGGAAAATAGGCAGAGAGAGAAGTTTGAGTGTTGCTGTTAAGAATCCTGCTGGTTGGGACCAGCAGATGGTGCAATGTTTACATTGCTGGACTCCCACGTGGTCGACCTGGTTCAGGCCTCAGACCCGGTGGCTTAAAACTTACATTGGGCATGTGTGTGTGTGCCCAAAATCCCAGTGAGTGTGGCTTTTTCAGCTGCAGAAATTTACTTTCTCTTTTGAGTGAGAGGAGGATGGAGGAGAAGGTATTGTGGCATGGTCATCCTCCAGTGAGGTGATTTCCGGCTTTCTGTCTCTTTGTCTTTGTCTCTCTGGAAAGCATACGTGCCCTATAGCAAAAATTTCTCTTTAAAAAAATCTTGCTGGTCTTATTTCCAAGACACGCCTATTAAACTATGACCATAAACACAAATCCAAAACTTGCATTCTTTGTCTCTCAAAATGTTGAATCTGTCCAGAAAAGTTCTGGCTATACATTGAGATCATGTAGAACATGGTATAGAATTTTGGTTCATTCTAAATGTCAGGGAAATCATCAAACAGGATTTCATTTGAAAGTTCATTCAGACTTGTGTAGAGGACAGATTTAGTGATCATGAGTAAAAGTAGAAAGACTAATCAAGTGGCCTAGCATAGACCTCGATGATAGCACTCGGCTAATACCTAAGAGAAACATTTGAATATAATTAGTAAGTCTATAAAATTACTTTATTACTTTTATTTAATTAATTTATTTTTTGCTATAGGGTACATACACTCACTAGAGAGAGGGGGGGAGAGAGAGAGAGAGAAAGCAAGAAATCACCTCCTCCAGGGGAATGGCCATGCTGCAATCCCTTCTTCTCCATTCTCCTCTCAGACTTTTGGGCACGTATGGACATTCGCCCTGAGTGTTTTTGAAACTGCTGGGAACAGTACTCACCCTACACAGTTGGTCTTGTGGGATCCAGCTGCCATAACCATCAGGCCACCAGATGGCCCAAAATTCTGACTTCACAGATGCACTAGATATGGAGTTACTCCCCAGGTTGCATTAATTAACCATCCTCATTAGTCTGGGACATTTTCCCTGTGAAAATCATTTTGGTCTGTTCTGTTTATATGTTGATGTGCTTGATTGAGCCAGTGCACAATGTACTCTGGATGGAAAAATCTCACTTTGTATGCTGTAATGATGTACAGTGAATGAATGTAAAGAAATAAATTTAATTAAAAAATCATTTTTGAGAGAATACTTCTGTTTCCTTTTGCTTAGGCAGAAAGGAAGTTGAAAATAAAAAGTTCTTGGGTTTATGACCTAAAAGAATATGAAAGACAGTGAAAATTTTCAGCTATAAGAATAATTATCTAAACTGAAAGACATGAAAATGCTGGCTGGCTCTCCTAAGTGTGTTTTAGGTCACGTAAATCATGTTAAAAGTTCCAATTAGAAATGGATTTTTCCCCCTGGGAAAACTACATGCAATTTCAGCTGCAGAAATTTACTTTCTCTCCTGATCTCTGGGCAACCATCCCTGCAAACTGCAATGGGTCCTCCTATAGCACATAAAGAACTGCTGCCAAAGTCAATGGCTTAGAGATACGTAAATCATCTCCTATGTTTGAAATGTGTCTTGTATTAGGAGTATTAGGTTTGATATTTTGAAATAGTTTGATAGTAGATATTATGGAATTAATTCTGTACCTCTTTTCTGATTGCTGGAAAATTGGTAACTCTCATGACTCAAAAGTTACTTTCTAACATAATTTTTCTGGAACTCTGCTGTAGGGCTTTTAAGGCTATTTGAAGAAGCATTTCGCTGCTACATTTTTCATAGGATGTGAAGGGACAAAGTTTTAACTTTGTTGTTGTTTGAAGTACTTGGTCATTCTTTATTGTAAACTGCTGGATTATAATTTATTTGTGAAGTAAACTTTAAAGCCACTTTGAACAACTTCTAGGAAGCATTTGTTTTTAAATGGAGAAAGGCCTTTTCTGTAACCTCATTCTATAAGCCTGTGGTATGTCCATCAGCAAGACTAAACACAGTCATTTATGAGAATGCCCTTCATCTGGTTATTAAGAAATGCTGAATAGTGTCTGTGTCAGGCACCGGGTTAGGTTCAAGTTGTACAATAGCCCACAAAAATGATAGGATTCTTGCTCAGAAGGAAACTTCAATGTGAGCGACAAGTCATTTTCCCAAGTTCCCTCACTCTGCTGAATTCCTGGTAAGGTGTAGAGGAAATGCCAGGTTCTACACTTAACAAACTTTTATTTGGGGACCAGCAGGTGGCAGAGTGGTTCAGATTCTGAATTCTCACATGGCCCACCGTGGTTTGAGTTCTGAATCCAGTCACTTGAAAATCATGCTGGGCATGTGTGAGTGCTCAAAGTCCCAAAAAGAGAATGGAGGAAAAGGAAGTACAGCATGGCCATCCCCCCCAAAGAGTGGTTTCTCACTTTCCTTCTGTCTCTCTCTGGTGAACACAAGCACCCTGTCAAAAAAAACATCTTGGAGAAAAAATGTTTATTTTATTTTGAGGTGAAAATCTGATATTTCCTCTGTAGCTTTAGATTTGGCTATGCATTGCCTAGGGGCCTGATGGTAAGGTAGCTTCGAGGAGACATTAGAATCAAAGTTGTCTCTAAGTTGTCTTAGTGTTTTTAAAAATGTGATCTATAAATTTTGATTTCGAGTCTTTGGAACATTTGTGTGTATGTGTGCCCACACACGTGTGTTATTTCTGCTCCAATGTCTTTGCAGTGTTCTCTCATGCAGATTAGCATGACCAATTTACAAACGAGGGACTTAAGACCTAGAAAATAATATTCCCCTGGTCAAACAATGAGCAGGTGAGAGTCCTGGGATGGAGGCTCAGGACCGTCTGCTTCTGCAGCCTGCAGTCTCCTCCTTCCCCCCCACTCCATCACATCACCACCTCGTCAGACTCTGCCTCTTTCTGCCATCTTCTAAGCAGGGCAGCTCTTACCAGTTCCTCATCTTCAAGCCAAATATTATTGGTGTGTCAAATTCTTGGTGTCTTGAGCTACTTAATAGTGTCTCTCCTTAAAAATTAAAAAAAAAAACCTAATGGAAAAAATAAAACCAGATGCTTTATTGAGAGTGCTTACTTAAGTATGAATGAATATATACTGCTTCAAACTACAACTAAAACACACAAGTCCCCAAACTGGGAATCTAAACATTGTGTTATAGAACTGTGTACCCTCAAAATTCACATGTTGAAGCCCTGACCCCCAACCTGATTGTATTTGGGATAGGGCCCTTAAGGACCCTAATTACTATTAATGAGGTCATAAAGGTAAGACCCTAATCCTAGAGGTTCGGCATCTTTTAAGAAGAGGCAGAAACCCTTGGAACTACGCATGGAGCAAAGCCCATGTGAAGCCACAGTGGAAGGTAGACATCTATGAGTGATGGAAGGAAGCAGCAGGAGAAATCAGATTTAATGCCTGCCACATGTGAGCCTGGATTCACAGCTTCCCACAGTTCTAGAACTGTGAGAATAAGCAAAAATTCTGCTGTTTAACCTACCCAGATTATTTCATTATTATTATTTAATTATTATTATTTTGTCAGACTAATACATATAGGAACATGAAGAAAGAGGAGGAGGATTAGGAGGCATAAAAGAGGGAGAAAAAAGGAAGAAAAGAATGAAGAACGGAAGGAAGGGAGGAGGGAATGAAGAGGAGGAGGAGGGGAAGAAGAGAGGGAGGGAATAAGGAAGCTGGAACGGTTAACTGGGAAGATCTTGGAGATAAGGAAGAAAATATTTTGACAGGAGGAAATAAGTGAACACAACGAGGAAGATAAAATGTCTTGATAGAACAGTAGTTACATGGTAACGAGTGTTAATCAAACCCTCTTAAAACTGAAACTTACGTCCTATCCTATGGATCACCGGAGACGCAGGGCCTTCCTCAGCTCAAGCTCTCTACGCCTGCGCAGGGTTCAGAACCACAGCTTTCCCTCCCAGTGCGACTGCGCAGAGATCGTCATCTCCTGCAAAACCTCACTTGTGCTTTCTCTCCTGACCTTGTCAATGAACCCATATCAGAATAATCTCTGTGTTAAACAAAAGGGATTCACAGGGCTGTTTACCCATAAACCCCATCTGGTCATCAGCAGAATTTCCCAACAACCGTTACAAGGCTCTTGAATCCTGACTCAGCCTCCACTAGACACCACCAAGTCAGTAGTTGAACATCGAAATGCCCCTTTAGTGGGGTGAATGAGAAGCAGGGTGTGATATCGTGTGGCTCACCAGAAATCTGTTTTAGTACCCTGTCTCACAGGTCAATTCTCATCTGCCAGACTCTACAAACTCTGTTTTATTCACTGACTATCCCTATTAAAGTATTCCTGGTACCTTTCACCATTTCCCCCAACAAATTAATTATCTCACCTTATTTTACACACGAAGACGTGTATGATAAAATACTGGTGGTCAAATCTACAAAGAACTCACGATCTTCACCTCCGTGAGTCGTAATTACATCACCTGTAAAGGTGGAATGCTATTGACCGCCCCTCCATATTACTGTGAGGATTACAGGAGACAGTGCGGTGAAGAAGTTGGGACAGTGCCTGGTGTATACAAGTTAACACTTAAATAGAAGCCAGTAGTAGTGCAAGTGTTCACAATGGGCATCCAAGTCCTGGCTTCTTAGGACAATGATAGTATTAGCAAGGTGAATATGGAACAGGGAATGGCCACAACCACTGTTACTGGGGTAGTGTTTCCAGGACAGAAGAAACATGAAGAAAGAGAAAGAGGAGGAAGAGTAAAGGAAGGGAGAAAAACAGAAAAAAGAAAGCAAAATTAAAAAAAGAAGGAAAGAAGGTAGGAAGGAAGGGGAGGAGGGAGGTAGAACAAGAGGGAGAGAAGAAGAGACGGAGGGAAGAGAGGGAAGGCTGTTCTGAGCCAGAATGTCTAGTTTCCTTCCCATTCCACCAGGCAACACCAACTGGTAATCTGGGGAGAAAAAAATTGTTACCCATTCCCCTCATCTCTCTGTATTAAGGACCAGAACCTTAATGTATAGCAATTCTCTTTTACTTTGCTATTTCAAGTGTGTGCTGGCCCCCAGTACAATCTCCTTTTAAATGCACTGTTTACAAGAACATGACATTATCTTTTTCAGAGAATACTGCAATTATGAATAACCATCTAGGGGAGATATTTTGTGTATACAAAATGTAACCTCAGGGGAACCAGCAGTTAGCGTAATGGCTATGTTGCTGGATTCCCACATAGTCGACCGCGGTTCGTGTCCCGGACCCGGTGGCTTAAAACTCACGCCGGGCGCGTGTGTGTGCATGCCCAAGATCCCGAGAGGAGAATGGAGGAGAAGGTATTGCGGCGTGACCACCCCCCCGGGGGGTGATTTCTCGCTTTCTGTCTCTATGTCTCTCTCTGTCTGTCTGGCGAGCGCATGCGCCCTACAGTGAAAATCTCTCCATCTGTATTAAGGACCAGAACCTTAATGTATAGCAATTCTCTTTTACTTTGCTATTTCAAGTGTGTGCTGGCCCCCAGTACAATCTCCTTTTAAATGCACTGTTTACAAGAACATGACATTATCTTTTTCAGAGAATACTGCAATTATGAATAACCATCTAGGGGAGATATTTTGTGTATACAAAATGTAACCTCAGGGGAACCAGCAGTTAGCGTAATGGCTATGTTGCTGGATTCCCACATAGTCGACCGCGGTTCGTGTCCCGGACCCGGTGGCTTAAAACTCACGCCGGGCGCGTGTGTGTGCATGCCCAAGATCCCGAGAGGAGAATGGAGGAGAAGGTATTGCGGCGTGACCACCCCCCCGGGGGGTGATTTCTCGCTTTCTGTCTCTATGTCTCTCTCTGTCTGTCTGGCGAGCGCATGCGCCCTACAGTGAAAATCTCTCCAAAAAAAAAAAAAATGTAACCTCAGGAAGAATTTTACTCCTTCTTCAAGGAGAACTCTCTCCTCATTTCCCTTCCCTTGGGACACTTAGTGAGTAATGTGTGAGAGTTCAGGAGTAATTGAGAGTAATGGCAGTGTCAACCATAGGACAAGTGATAAATCTTAGTTTGTTTATGATTTAGAAGTATTATTAATGTTTGATCAAAAGAATGCTACTGAGTCGTAACCAGAACATGCAAGAGCAATACTTCAGCTTTGGAAATGGACAAATGAGTTTGCAAAATGTATTCAGAAATTTCCTCCCAGGAGGCAGTAAGTAAACATCAGTGAGAGGCAGACAAACCAGGCATTGTCCTAGTGCATGTGCAATTTCAAGGCTTTTCTTTGTTATTTTCTTTATTGTTAAATACTGGCATGACTGGGCTGCCTGCAGTGATGATACGGTCTTTACTCATGGAGGCGCTTATGGCAAAAGGATAGCAAAAAAAAGGAATCGCTACAACGACAATATGCTACACAATGTGCTGTGAGAGCCAAAATGCTGTGACACTAGAATCAGGCCTTTTTAAAAAGCCATGAAGTTTGAATAACACAGTGCTATTGGATATGGCCTCCATCTTCAGGTTTCGATTTAATCGCCTGCTGTAGGACCCGTTTTAGGTATCTCTTTTTCAAAGAGCCCCTGATGCCTATGCTTGGTCAAGACAGAGAACCCCTGTTCTACCAAGTGCTGCAAGCCTCCTTACTCCTGGCAGGGCCTCTGTGATTTCTCCCAGGAAATGAAGGCAATGGGAACTCTTTTATTCCTGTTTCAGGATCCTATCATGAGAGAACAAGAGACACACCCTCTGCACCCCTGGAGCCACGCGTTGTGGCAGAGACATAGAAGGGGACTAAAACTAGCTGTATATATTCAGAAACCAGGCCTTTACCTCTCCGAATTTCAATTTTCTACCCAAGATGAGAGAATTGGGCACTGCTGACTTTCTACAAAATTAACAAGTACAGAAAAGGCTGGAGAGAAATCACTTAGGATGGTGATTCTCAAATTTAGGTGGATATAAAAGAATCATTTGGAGAGTTTGTAATGTGTATTCCCAGGCCCCATCATCAGGGAGATCTTGTTTCAGTAAGTTTGACATGGGCATTATAGATATAGATATAGATATAGATCAATATATATCTATATCTATATCTATATCTATATCTATATCTATATATATATATAATTTCTTTGTAAAAGACCTGAAAAAGATATTTTGAAAAAAAGTTGGACCTAGTTGTAAGGAATCACAGGTGGCGCCAATCAGTGTATTTCCTGGATTTTAGTTTTTTTTTGTTTTTTTTTTTTTTTTTGAGAAGAGAAGAGAAGATGAACAGAAGAGGAGAAGGCAAATGAATACCAGAGAATGTCACAGGAAAATTTATTTTGGCTTAAAACAGTATTTTAGGGTTGAGAAATCCTTCTCAACATGATTCTTCCTGATTAAGTGGAGCTATTAAAAATAAATAGCTATTATGCTATAAAAAATGGATAGCCATATTGCCATGGCTGAAATCTCTGAGTGGATTTTTCTTTCCCTGTCAATTTTTGGATGAATCTACATGAAATCATAGAAGACCACATCCCCAATCTATTCTCTTGGCTGTTTGGCTTCTAGAGACATTGGACAAGTCCATGTATTCCTCTTCATAGAACTCGTGTATATGGTAATGACTCTCATCAGCTTTACACCTGTCAGTCTTTTAGCCCCCCTGGAGAGGCCTCTTCTTCCCATTCCTCTTTCAAACTTCTCACCATCCTGCTCACAGTACTTTAAAATTTGTAAGCTTCAAAAAGAGACTTCTTATATTCTCCCAGAAGAGCTGAATTTTTGTTGCTTTATATGCACATCTGCTGTCCCTTTCCCCAGGTACAATGAGTATTACTTCCTAAAATAATATGCTATTACTTTTCTTTTTCAATGTATTTACAGGATACTAGCAAATGAGATTGAAGAAATTAGTGTTTTGTTTTTGTTTTTTCTTCAAATCACTGACCCACTTGGCAAGGAGTAAATTCAATTCAACACAACAGAAACAATGTTCCACAATCAGATAAGCAATTTTAATTTCTTTGAAATGTCTCTCAAAATTGGTGTTCAAGTGAACCTGAACTGCATGTATTAAGATTCTGTAAGTCCTTGGAGATGAGGGAGCAGGGACAGTGCAAAGACTACAGATATCTAGGGAGAAAGAGAAGGAGAGGGAAAGTGAAAACTCACCACTATCGGAGACAGTCATGCCACAAACTCTTCTCCATTTCTCCTCCTTTCTGAATTTTGGGTACGCACATGTACCCAGTTCGCTTACTCAAGCTCCTAGTCCAGGACTCAACCTGTACAATCAGCCATGTGGGATTCAGCCACCTTAACCAGCATGCTACTGGCTGTCCCCAACTTCTTTTTATACGATGTATTCTCCTAGACATATCGAACTTCATTGATTTATCAATGGTCAGGAGTATATTCTTGCATAAGTATCCATAATGATGATTAATCCACCTCATCTATAGTCCTTTGCAAGTTATCTGCCTCATGAATGGCTGCCCATCTGTGGCATCCAAGCCCTCCATGATGAAGTTCTTAGTTACTCTCCTCCAGAGGAAGACGGTACCTTGTTGAGTACCTTAGGGCACCAGGCACTCAGCGGTGTTGGCCGTTCGCTATGCCCAGCCAATGGAATCTTCCTTGTATCTTCAGCCACTGTCTTGCTGGCTCTTTACCAAGCAGAGTTATTCTTCTAAGCTTCTTCCACTGAAAACAGAGTTATTTTCAGCATTAATCATAAATATATCATGTCCCACAAAGCCCTTCTCAAATGATCAAATTGCTGTAATTTACAAAGCTTTTGTATTTTTCCAGTGCTTTCATTATTGGAAAGAGTTAGACACACAGATGTCAAAAGATTGCTATTACTGGGTTTATATGGACAAAAAACTAATTTGTTGATAACTGACAATAATCTGTTCAGTGTGGCCTAGAAGTAG